GTGAGCCCACACTTTCGAACGTTTCACTCTTGCCGCATCAAACACACACCGCACATGCGCATGGATATCACACGCACGTCGAGCAAACCTCGGCCACATCATTCAGTGAAGGAAAATGACAAACAACAGCTTCTAATTCATCATTAACATTGAAGATTACGGAGATAAAACAACGCAAGTATCGATAACAGTATCGTTTGTCCTGAAGCTTATCGGTACTCCGCTATTGACCCAATTACGTACTGGTCCAAAAAAATACCGGTTCTCGGTACCCATCCCTAGTCGTGCGTATACGTCACTCATTATTTACACAGTGCAGAGAGATTGCGGACGTGTTGACTGGCACTGCGATGATCTAAAGATATTTAGAAGTACAGGTCATCACAATGGAAGACACTTTTGATATATCATCAGACAATGTGGAATTTTTTGCCGACCGTATTTATTTGACGTCACGCGCCGGATGTTGTGAACACGCTCAGGACAGTTGGACATTATGGTGGATCAGAGGTAAAAAATGATATAAATACTGTTCAGTTTCTTGCACAGACCGATCGTTTCGTGTTTTAAGCCCTCAATGTATCGTCACGAGCCACAGGGTTTAATTTGGTATTGTCTGTGTATGTTTTTTATACTCTCAAAGCCATGGAGGCCATTGACTGCCATTATATGACTGACAGACTGCAACGGTTTGAGTTAAAAATCTTCGTTTGTGTTCTATACGCAAATAAAACGTTTAACCGGCAAGGCTTTAAAGTACGCGGAAATAATGTATATTTGTGATTGCGAATAAGTCTCGTGAGTGTAACTCTACCGAATAAACATTTGATGTGAATGTGTCTCGTGAGTTTCAGTTGGAGCTGGAGCCGCGAGACATAATACAGTGCATTGCTTGAGGTAGATGTTGTGTTTTGTTAGTAAATGTTTCATTATATTACTAGTGTTGCCTCCTTTGTTCACTGTTACACTACTGCATATATTGCATCTGACACTGGTGTCGCTTAGTTTTGTAACGTGAGCCCACACTTTCGAACGTTTCACTCTTGCCGCATCAAACACACACCGCACATGCGCATGGATATCACACGCACGTCGAGCAAACCTCGGCCACATCATTCAGTGAAGGAAAATGACAAACAACAGCTTCTAATTCATCATTAACATTGAAGATTACGGAGATAAAACAACGCAAGTATCGATAACAGTATCGTTTGTCCTGAAGCTTATCGGTACTCCGCTATTGACCCAATTACGTACTGGTCCAAAAAAATACCGGTTCTCGGTACCCATCCCTAGTCGTGCGTATACGTCACTCATTATTTACACAGTGCAGAGAGATTGCGGACGTGTTGACTGGCACTGCGATGATCTAAAGATATTTAGAAGTACAGGTCATCACAATGGAAGACACTTTTGATATATCATCAGACAATGTGGAATTTTTTGCCGACCGTATTTATTTGACGTCACGCGCCGGATGTTGTGAACACGCTCAGGACAGTTGGACATTATGGTGGATCAGAGGTAAAAAATGATATAAATACTGTTCAGTTTCTTGCACAGACCGATCGTTTCGTGTTTTAAGACCTCAATGTATCGTCACGAGCCACAGGGTTTAATTTGGTATTGTCTGTGTATGTTTTTTATACTCTCAAAGCCATGGAGGCCATTGACTGCCATTATATGACTGACAGACTGCAACGGTTTGAGTTAAAAATCTTCGTTTGTGTTCTACTGAAGAAAAAAAGTCACCTAAATCTTGGATGCCCTGGGGGTAAGCAGATAAACATCAAATTTTCATTTTTGGGTGAACTATCCCTTTAAAGGGACAGGCAAAAATCACTTTCTTGTCACATTTACCATACTCTTGGCTTACGATACAAATTTTGTTCAAGCTTGCACGTCCAGACTAACAAGTTCTTGTCTATTGTGAACGTGAGAGTCTTGTGTAGTTTAGACAATTCTAAATTTGAAATGGGCTTTTAAAATAATATAATTTGCCTAATATTCAAGGCTTTATTGAACTTATTAATTAAAGCATTGCACTTATTTATGTCTTTATTAGTTAATTTAGTTTCATATTATTACTGGAATATTGTGTATTATAGTGTATTACTGGAATATTTTCCACTGGTTTCACCCTCTAATTTTTCTGGAAGCAATAAATGTGTCAAAATGTGTTTTTGTTGAGGGGTTATTAATAGTCAGCTGGTTGTCTCATGATGAAAGAATCCACTTTGGTTGTTTCTTTCTGTGGAAAGTCTGAAAGGAGTTTTGACACTTGCTGTATGCGACATGGGCCCTCGAGCAGTCATAAACTCAGCTGGGTGTCTAGTCAGTGGAAAATGTAAGCTGTTCTCTTAAAAGTGTCAGATGAATTAACATTCCCTGAGCAAACCCATTTTGATATCATAACCTAAACCAGGGTCTTATAAACAAAACACTGACTCATTTAGAAACTTGGAACCCACTTCCTGAATTGGTGCTTCAAAACATGAAGTGTGCCATTTAAGTGGGTGATATCAGCCTGTAGAAAGTCATGCTCATAGTTACTGAAAACTTGATATGGAGCTCAGGTCAGTTTTGGCTATTATTATCTTGCTCTTTGTACCTTGTGCCCATGACCCATATCCCACCTTTACACACATTTCTTGATGATGACCTCATTTGCCATTAAGTTGACAGCAGTTCCTTGTTTTTTTCCATTACATTGATGACAGATAATAACTTCATTTGCCATTACATTGACAGAAAATAATGACTTCATTTACCCTTACATTGAGGTTAGATACTAATTTAATTTGCCATTTGACTAAATAATGATCCAGTTTCCTGATACTTTGACATCATAATTTTATCCGTCATTACATGACAGCAGAAAATGTAATTTTCAAGTATTCAAATTAACAATACATATATGCTAAATATAGGAATTTAATTTCCTTTACACTGACAGTAAATGAAGTAATTAAGTGACAGTAAATCAAATTAAGGCAAATTAAATAAGAAAATATTATTATAAATACTTTTAAAAACTTTATTTGCAGTAGATTATTGATTTGTTTTTTGCTGTAATTTTTACATTTCATAGTCCTTTTATTTGTTGTTACTTGGATGGTAAATAAGAATCTAAATTTGTCATTACAGTGACGATAGTAACATGATTTGTCATTGCTTTGATGGACATAACCTATATTTTTGGCTTCTAGCTATTTAAAGCTGATGAATTCAGCTGTTTGTGTTGTATGCTTCTGAATAGAATGGAATGTTTTTGTATGCATATTAATAATACATTTCGCTTTCTACTTGTATAAAAGCATACATAAAATACAGCAACACAACTTAATGCTGTCCTGTTCACCATTTTCCACCCTGTATTCCTTTTTGTTATAATTTGGTTTCATGTTTTTCCATTCCCTAATGAGAGACCTTGTTCCACTGGAACTGGATTCCCAGCTTTTGGACTAAAAACATCTGCACATATGACTGACAGATGCTTATGGCTACTGTAGACATCTCTGTGCTTATCTCAAACAGGAAAGCTTTTACCAGATAGAGAGGGGAAAATTTGAGTGAACGGCATGGGGATAATTTCTAGTATGTATGTTCACTTCAAGGTTTTATTTAATTTGAGAAAATAGATAAAAGAAATGTGAGTTCCAGAGTTAGTTCTGCAGGTCAGTAATATTTATTTTGAAAGTAGTCTTTTATACTCAGGAAGGCTGCTATTATAGAATCAGAAATACAGTAAATACAGTAATATTGTGAAATATCATTACAATTTTTCAAATGAATGTTTTCTATTTTATTATAGTTTTTAAATGTAATTCATTCCTGTGATGGCAAAGCTGAATTTGCAGCAGCCATTACTCCAGTCTTGTGTCACATGATCCTTTAGAAATCATTTAGGCCTAAATATACTGATTTAGTGCTCAAGAAACATTTCATATTTTCAATGTTGAAAACAGCATTGCTTAATATTTTTTGTGAAACTGTGATACATTTTTTTTCCACAATTATTTGATGAATAGAAAGTTCAAAATAACAGCATTTATTGTATAATATTTTTGTATTATTAATATACTTTTTTTTTTTTTACTTTTATTTTATATCTTCATTGTTTTGCTATACAATTTTGTATTGCAGTCATCATTAACTGATTGTTTTCAGGTAGCAGATTATGGTGACCCAACACAGTAGCAAAGTTTGTTTGTGCTCAATGTTTGTGCTATTTGCATTTTATTATATTGTTTAATTTTGGGTTGAGAACTTCTGTTTAATAGTGTTATCAAGCCTGTAAATGTAGATGATATGTTTACCTTGATAGAGAATTACAGTTAATCTCTGTGCATCAGCTGCACCGTCGTCAGTTTCAGTATTCGGTAATAGTTGTGTGTACACAGGAGACTGAGAGAATATGGATCATGTTTGTATTGCTTGCGAGACTCAGAGAAAATAACACCATGCAGACATGTTTAAAATAAGCCTGACGTGATAACTGAATGCCACTTAAACAGATAGAAAAAGAAAAGCTGCTCTTCAATAATAATGGGACAAATCCGCTCCCCCTGGAGTCAGACAGGAGAAAACGAACACCCATGGAAGGTATGCTGCGGGGAGCGCTTGATAACACAGCTGCCCTTCTGCCCAGCTCAGCTGATTTCGATTTTCCATCACGATGGGAGGGGCAGCATGAAAGAGACCTACTGTGAGATGAGCGATACAGATCATTGTTTTACCACACTTCGTGTCCTGAAATGGTATGACTGAATTGAGCAGAGATTGGCCGAACTGGTTCTGAGCTGCATGGAAAGCAGTGGCGCATAGTTTCCAAGACTTGCACTCTCAGGGTGTGTGTGTGTGTGTGTGTCTGTCTGTGATTAGTCAGCAGAGCCATTCGTTTCGGTACAGAATGGGAAAGTGGGGCGGAGCCTGCAAGCCGAGTCACCCCTCCCCTGCAGTGGGCGGAGCCTGTTGTTGTGCAGCTGAGAGGGCCTTTATATAAAAGGAGACGGATGAGTGAGCTTCAGTCTTACGAAGCTTTCAAGACGTTTGATCGGTAGTGCAGGAACACAGACCATTCCAGAAGATTCTGTCTTAACAAAGCAGCGTCACGTGACCACACAGGGGGGTTTATTTTCTGCGCATTGCTCAGTTTGACCCATTTCCTTTGTGAAAATGCTCTAGGCTCTGAGACCGTCTGAGAAGGACAGGAAGAAAAGCAGAAGCGAAGAGGGTGATTTCGAAGCATTTGTTTCCTGAAGCAGGCGTCATTCGTGTCCTCACGCTGGGGAAGGCAAAACGGACGCGTCTCAGCCCCTCCTGCCCTTTACATTCTCTAACCTCTCAAGTCCTCCGGAGGATCCGTCAACGGGCTTCAGTCATGCACCTGAAAACCATGAAGTGTAACCCTTTCTGCCTTATCGCTTCCTTGGAGGATCCGGATATGTTTAACAGACCCGAGAAAAGGGTACGGCTTCATTGACATGGTGCCTTACAATATCAAAATAGCTTTAAATGCTGGAAGTCAAACTGCTAGAAAGCCATGAATGACAGAACGCTGTCAGAATGCTATCCAACAGCTCTTTGAATTCCTCATGCGATCTCGTCTTTATTGATGCCAACTTGATTTGTGCTTTCTGTGTGGTTTGTGGTTGACTAAATGACCTACTTATGTATGATACAGGGGTGTAGCCATCATTTCAGAAGTGAGGGGGACAGAAATGTTATATATATAAAAAAAATAAAAATAAATAAATATATATATATATATAAAACATTACAATATAACATTTCTCTAATCTATATAACCTACCAGTCAACAGTTTTTGAACAGTAAGATTTTTAATGTTTTATAAAGAAGTCTCTTCTGCT